GATAAACAGATATGCAGATACAGATAGATACAGGTATATAGACAGATACAGATACAGATACAGATACAGATACAGATACAGATACAGATACAGATACAGATACAGATACAGATACAGATACAGACGCAGGTGACGGCCGAGGATGGCGTACTCGGGTCCGTGCCTGTGTCTGCCCTACACCGTTTTCCCGCTCTCATGGGCATGTGGGCACGGCAAGCACGGTGCGAGAAAAGAGCGGAGACTGTTTCGGCTGCTGGAAGCATAAATTTAACATTTTTCATACAGTAACTGAAAACACCAAACCCACAATCCTGCAATACAATTTTTAAAGTACATTTTCATACCGGAACCACACTGTAGTTTGTCATAATAGGGAATATTTGGGAGACAGAGCAACTAAAATCTTCTTGGTAGAGAATTTTCTGTGACTCGGGGCAGTAAACACAGCAGGCACAAGGAATTACTGAGATATATTTATTACAAAATTATGTATTGGGCACTTAGAGTAAAATTTATTCATATCCTGTCTCACACCGAAGGACCTTATATGTGAATATAAGGGAGATACACAGATGCACTTCTAGGCATAAATGACATGCAAGAGGAATTGCTTAACAAACTCAGAAAAATGTCACCTGTTCAGCTTGTTTAGATTTCCAATGGGTGAAACAGAAGGATGCGTTCCTAACCCATCTTCCATTTTCCTGTTCTTTAAGTATTTGTCAAGATTTCCAAGCTATAGTAGTGGACCAACACCTTAGAAGAGTGCTTAATTCTGTGGAAGAATGTTATCCTTTAAACAGGAATATTACCTACCCCTCCATCTCAGGGTCCAGCTGCTTTAGCTTTCAGGTCATTTTCTATTCAGCTATATATTAAGACAATAAGGTTACTATAGTTACCTTGTCTGAAATGTTCAATAAATTATGTATTTCTATGAGTCTAATAATTGGTAGTAACCTTTGTTCTCAGGTATCACTAGAAAACTTTAAATCTCCTTTTAGCTTCCTGGGTTTGTAGTGTAGGTTTTTTGGGTTTTCTCTCCATTTTGTATTTTAGTGGGAAGGATACGAATGTTGTTTAGAAGGGTGAAAAATACACAGCTACATACTGGGGCAATAACAACAATATGCAGCTGGCGTCTGTTTTCAGATTTTTATATTGCATGGATGAAAATTTGAGCTATGGAAAATAAGGCTGTCTGTCATAATCAAACATATTCTCCCTTTTGCTCACAATAAACCATTTTAACAGTCAATTGATGAAATAATTCAATGCAGCTGTTTTACCCACTTCATTTTGATTCTTCAGTTATTCTGGGTGTTTTGTATCATGACAACTATTAATAGAAGGACAAAATGTGCTAAGACTGAACTTCTATATTTCTATTTCTAGCTTTTTCTCTTCACTATAGCACAATATGTAACTACATTCTAAAAAATTATCCACAGAGAAGAGCAAGAGCAGAATATGAAAATATTTATTTACAAAAATAAATTGGGCTTCATCCTACATCATTTGCAACTCAGCTTGCATATTCAGCACAGATAATAGTATTTAAGAAATAGGTAAGCCAAAATCTATGGAATTGTAGATGCTTCAGAAGCTCATGGGTCAATTGAATTTTTGTTTGTATTGCTACACAAAAAAAGTTAACGCATACGTGCCCTTGATCTCTGAAAGCATGTTTACATTTTAGTCCAGTCCAAATAGACAGAGGTGGCTAGAATTATACATTAGATATATATTAGACTTCATTACAGTGAAATGGCTGCATATAAAAGGAAAATTGCTCTCTGGTCAGTAAACTGCTAAGTTATTGTTAAATCTTCATCTGGAATTCTCTTTTAGAAACATTCACATGCTCAGTATACTTGGATGCAATTCATAAAATGTCACTGCTCTTTTGTTTGGCTTGCAAAGCAATCAGTATTCAAAAAAAAAAAAAAGAAAGAAAGAAAAGAAAAGAAAAAAACAAAACAAAACAAAAACAACAAAAAAACCAAACCAAAAAACCCCCAAACCAACAAACCATCTCACTACTTAAAGGCATTCAGAGCAGAAATAGAGCACAAGACAATGAAACAAATGCTTCAGCATTTAAAACAATAAGGCAAGATTTTGTAATAAGCATTCAGCTTTTGACTTTGGCACTTCTCTGAAAAACAGAAATGGAAAACCAGAAGCTTCCACTGCTTTTACATGGAACTGCTGATGACTTTGAAACCTGCCAGCTGCATGACTGCATTGACTCAGAATCAAATAGAACAACGTGATTACTGCGCTAAGATGAATTCAAGCAGCACGCTTCTATCCTTGGGTTCACCTGGAGCTTTTTGATGTGCCTTAGAGAACAGGCAAGTTATGTGTCTGCTGCAGCTCTCTGTTATTCTGAATGCACAAAGAGATTCCAGGATCACCCCCCTGCTCTTGTGAAGAGAAATCTTAAGCTGTTAATATTCTAACTCTCAGTATTCAAACTGTGATCCATTCAGACTCAGTTGACCAACAGTGCAAATCAAACCCCTCCTTGGCTTGACTAAGGAAAGCTGAATACACATTAATGGCAATCATTTAAGTTGGAAAAGACCACCAAGATCATTAAGTCCTACCTTCAGCTGAACACCACCTTGTCAACTAAGCCATAGCACTGTCATGTATGGCTGTTTCTTGAACATTTCCAAGGATGGTGAATCCACCATTTCCCTGGGCAACCCAGTCCAATGCTTAACCTCCCTTTCAGTGAAGAAATTCTTCCTGATGTCCAAACTGAATCTCCCCTGGCTGTTTCCTCTCATTTTTTTACTGGTTGGCTGGGAGAGACCAACCCCCACTACAGCCTCCTTTCATGGTGTTGTAGACAGTGATAAGGTCACCTCTGAGCCTCCTTTTCTCCAGGCTAAACAACCTCAGCTCCCTCAGCTGCTCCTCATAGGACTTACTCTCTAGAACTTTCACCAGCTCTGTTGCCCTTTACTGGAGTCCCTCCTACAAGTTGTGTTCTACCTTATTTTCTCTCCCCTGTCCTGCTGGGAAGGGGAGTGATAGAGAGGCTTGGCAGGCACCGGCCAAGGTCAACTCACCACTGAGTCAGGTTTGATGCTATGAGCTTCGACTCTGGCATCCCCTGCTATGCTAGCCTAGAAAATTGGATTTACGCCAAAGCTCTGCCTTCACAGCAAAATTAATGGTTTCAGTGTATGTGGACATGACCTATAGAACAAATTGTAAATGAAAACAGATACAAGGTAAGTAATCTCACACATCTAAAGTTACAGCTTGACGTAAGCTTTTTTTATAGTTGGGAAAATTTGCTGAGTAGCCAATAACTGTACATTTAAGCATTTGCGTATGTTTTAGCCTTTTATTTTTTAAAATACAACTTAGTTGAATTGTAAAAAATAATGGATAGCAAAGACAAACTCAGATGCTAGGTCTAATAACATCAACAGCAAAATTTCTACAGTTTGCTGAAAATTTTGAGGGTTCAGATTAGCAATTGTTTACCTATTTCCAATCGATTTTTACATTGAGGTTCTGAAGAGGCGCAGTATTAAACCAAATACTCTAAACATTCTGTTCAAAGAAATCTATATTTAGTAATAAATTTTAGAATCTTCAGGACTTGTATTCAAAGATGTAAAATGTACTGAATGTAATATGAAGAGGAAATTCTAAAAATTAAGAGTTTACCTTTCATGGTACTAGCAAAAAACATGGTAATGAAATTGCATCCACTTTCTAGAGGACTTTATAATCAATATTTAATTATTAATAAGATTACAGGGATATATCCTAATCCAAGGAGATAAAATAGCAAGTGTTGAACTATCAGTGTATCTTAACTTTTTCAAAATATTAAAGTACAACTTCAATACATTGATATTTCAAAGTACAAACTTCTACTGGTGTGAATAAACAGTGATCTAGCATATAATATTTTTGTTGCAGTCAGGACTTCAGGATAGATAATTTTTTTATCTAACAGCTGAAAGTGCAGACATCATAGATAGCTGAGTACATATAACAGGAAATGCCACCAGGCCTTTAATTATATACTTGAATACTACAACCGATCAACTAGTTCTTGTGCAGCAGGCATAGCAATAGAACTGTCCTAGAAAGCTGTTCAAAGTAAATGAGCTTTTGGGATGAAAAAGCAGTCTTTTCAGTGAAGGTTTGACTTTTTTACTTCAATTCCTTCTATCTACATTTCATCCCATACCACACAGTTCCTCTTCACCTTTCTTTGTGGCATAATTCCATTACTATAGCTGGACTTAACGGAAGAAACTTGCTGATTTGGACACATCAATAGCATGGCTGTCTCTAGTCAAGTCAGCAGCAATATGGTAACCCTGTTTGAGAACAGCAAAGCAGCAGGAGTCTTCTGCAGGAGTAAAGCTCAGTTTTGCTTTATTTGGTTTATTATACTAAGAAAAGGTGTAGGACTAAGGACTGACAACTGCTGCCTGTTCTTTAAAATTTGCTTTAATCAAACCCAATGAAGTTCATCCATCTCGCAAACTTCTCAATCAGGGATGGGTTAAATTACAAAAATACTCTAGCCAACGTGTAAATAGTGGGTTATATAAGCAATACAAGGCTCTAGTTTCCCCAACAGTCTTTCAAGTTACTTATTATATCCCTGAAATGGTGGCTTTAACTCATTGCTTGCAGGTGGCGATTCAGATCGTTCTGAATCTGCAATAGAAAAAAATGATTAAAGTTTACAGAATAACTTAAACCATAATAACAAAAAGGTCAGCTAAAATGTTTGGTTTCTTCCTCACGTCAAAATACACATACATTCCACTACTTTTAATTTTGAATTAACAAGATAAATAAGATACGTAAAAAATTTGCAGTATGATGCAAATCTGTATTCCAAAACAAAGGGATTATAGATTTATGGAATAAATCTATGGAATGGGTTGTATCTCCTTCCTGATGTGTCTAGGACTTATTCTGTGCAAGTGACAACAGAGTAAGCTCCATCTCAAAAGGGAGTTGCAAGGTGTTCATGCTGCCAATTGCTTTGGATGAACTGAAAAAAAATAACAAGTGGGGGAAAAGTAAATGCACTCCCTTCAGCAATCACCTAAAAGAATGAAAAGAACAACGTCAAAACTGAAGGAAAATACACATCTGGATGAAACCATATTCTTAAGAGCATTAAAAGCAATCTCCTTTTATACTGAGATACAGAACCAATCTCAATCAGAATAGCTATGTTTGCAAACAAAGGCAATAGAAGCAAAGCAGGTATCATGTTATTAAAAATTTGAAAAAGTAAAGCAACTCAAAAGTTAGATGTATCTATATGGCAATCTGTGCAGCATGCTGATTTTTCAGCAGCCTTTACAATGTACCCATATTTTAATTCTCTATTGCCTAAGTGGCATAACCAAACCAATTTCATGCTTATTCTGAAAAATCTTCAAGTTTTCTTTATATCTCAGATGTTTCATTAGAGGCACACACCTTAAAGAAATCAACTATCACCAAATTAATTTAATCAAGATTTAGAAATCCCCTTTAATTTTACTCAATGCAATGGGAAAGCAAAATGTCAGCATATAAGAAAGTTAAATACAATCTGAAGACAAGAATATGCAAAGTTTTCTTTCATGCTGAGGAAGAGCACTTTTAGACTCCATGTTTGAATTGCTGGGTCACTGAGCCTCTCAAAGCAGCATCCTCTGCATGATCAGAGCTTGGATACTTAACTTGAAGAGTGGTTTCTAAGGTTATGCATTCTCCTTCAGATCCAGACTGAGATCTGGTTTCATCCCTCAGTTTTATGGCTTTTTTCTTCTGAACAAAACCATACAACTTCTAGTTCTCTGTTTTCTCCTGACACTCACCTGTTCATTTTTATAAAAAGAAATACTGTAGATACATTAATGGAAGACACAAAGATAAATTCAGCCAGAGCTGAAGTGTCAGAGAAATTAAAATACCTGGCCTCTAAGACTTTCATACATTAATATATCAAGGTCAAGGGAATAATGACAATGCCCAGTGTATACAAAAGGATTCCCTGACACAGATAAAAAAAAGAATTCTGGTGCATGCAATGGGAGGTCCAATAGCATTTCCAAACATTGCTATAGAAAACTGATATAGCCAGCATGGTTACCAAAACAAAAAAAAAAGGTCTTTGACAGAAGTAAGGGAAATTTTCCCATCCTTTATCCTTTATATTTAAGTGTTTCCAAGTGAAGCCTTTCATAGCTATTACCATTTTGCATGATAAAGTAATGAAAGCATAGGGGAACATTGGATAACTTTTCTCTTAAACTGCTGAAATTCCACCGCCTTCAACATATATTTATTTTGAAAAATTTCTACAAACAGTGATCTATTTCTAAAAGATGAGTATCAATGACAATTGTGACAGAAGTTTTCAGAAAAAAATATTAGGGGCAAAAGAATATTCGTAACAAAGAGGCAACAAATATTTTACAGTCTACTTAAATTTAGGCAGGATGGCTGTGCCTCTGCAGCATTTTATGAAAACACATCACAGAGAAGCCCCTGGATCCGAACACAGAAGCCCCTGGATTGGAACAGAGCATACTGCAATTGTAGAGATGAAAAAAGTCCATGAAAGCACCTGCCTTCAGTGACTACAAACAGGAGCACTCCTTTCTGTAGCTGGTCACAGGGTATTGTAAACTAAGCACAGCAATTGAGCGCGTCTCACCACATTCAGAGGCACACAAATATTGAGGCTGCCCTCTGCTGTCACCTTGAGAGTACAGCTCATTTTAAAACAAACAGCTTTCAGTAGCGTTACCTTCAGAGTGCTCACTATTTTCTGATGTTTCTTCAATCTTTTTTTCCCATCCAGTACACTGCTGAGACCAGTCAGTCGCATAACCATTGCTTATTAATTTGCTAAAATTTACGGCTTCACTTTTTCTCTGAGGAGGCCTGCAAATACAAGTATATTAAAGGAAAACAAAAGTAAAAGTAAACAAAAATGGGGGCTAGGTGGAAAAATCGTATTTTGAACAGAAAAGGCATTATAATATAATTTATTTTGCATTTTAACATTTATCTAAAAATATAATAATTTATAGCCTTATAATTTATTTATAAATAACAAAACATATATTCTATAAGTAATCATCTAAGAAGAAAAACCAAAAATAAACAAAAAACCAAAAGAACAGAATTATGCTTGATTTAGTACTGTGTAAATTTACATGAGAAGAGCCATCTGTTTCATTGGAATTGTACATGTATAATGCTTACATAGTTCTGGTCTTAAAGACAAAAAGTGCAAAAGGGAAATCCCGCAAAGAATGTGTAAGTGAAAAAGGCTGATAGTACTGATTCTGCTCACTACTCATTTTGATGTACAAAAGTGAAATTAAGTCCAAAATTTTCTCTTAAATTCGTTTGACAGTTTAATCACTTATTTGGCAGCATTAACATAGTTCTAAAAAATACTAGGATTACTGATGACTGAGCAATAAATTTTTAAGACAAAGTATGCAGAAACAATTCAGCTGTGCACACAGCTGGTGATGTGATGCAATCACATCACACACGACATACAAATGTGCTTAAAACACCTTTTCCAGGTGTTCATTAGAATATTTTTGCTCTGTCTGACCTTAAAAAGGCTACAGTTTATGTCTTTCCTTAAAGTGTGGGTCCTACTTGTTCCTCTGTAACCTACACTGACAGGACTAACAATGTAGACTATAATTTTCATCTGTTCACTGGCATTAAGAAAAAAAAACAATTTAAAATACCATAAAATTTGCTACATGAAGATATGCAACTCTATGCTTAGTTTTCCTAACACAAAGTTATATTGAATAATTTTCTTATATGGGCTGAAGTACTGTTATTTTAGTTGCTTTAGACACTTTTAAAACTATTTTAGCATCACGTATGATAGCAAATTTAACAGCAATAAAGATACACAAGATCCACACACATATCCACAAATTCCTGCAATTTCACAAGGAGCAATTTTACTTGTAAGCATGAATAGTTGCAGGCTTTGGTGTTTAATGATTTTCACAAATGTACTACTTACATGGGTGGGAAGGAAAGCTTATTTTCTCCACTAAATTCCTTGTTTGTAGAAACAGTTGGCATTCTGCTTGGATATTTCGGGCTTATAGGTGGGAGCTTTACCTGTGATAGAGAAATCTTAGCCCAAAAAAAAAGGAGTTATGAAAAAAATACCCAAGAATATGATAGGATAACATAGCCTTCAAAAGTGAGGGTGATATTAAAGGCCTAAATGTGTTCAAATTTCCATGTCTTATCTACATTATTTCCATAAGTAATAATGGATTATTGAAGAATAGCAAAAGATAAAGCAGCCCCCTTAGTTAGTTATTCTGCATGAGATTATTTGTTTGCTCTCTCCACAATATGCTCTACACAAGCCTTTCCCTCACAGTGCACTTCTATCCAAAGTTAAGCTTCAAATTCAAACTTATCCATTGCAACCTCTCATCTTGGTCCATTTCTCTGTATGCAGAATACAAAAACACACCAGTCTTACTAAAGTCAGGAGGCTGTGAGCAAGAGCATTATTTTAAATGTTGTCTTTCTTGGCATTAACTGAGAGGCTAGCATAAGCTGCAGGGATCCAAACACTCCCTATTGTTCAAGTAAACTAATTAATGACAAAAGTAGCAAGGGAACAGATCAGAATTTGCCTTTAGAGGGCACCTGCAATCCATTCAGGTGCTATTTGTTACTTTGCTGAGCGAATTCAGCATTAAAAGCAGACTCTTGTGCTACTACACACCAGTGCTTACAGTTGAGGGGGCTTTTTCCCTTTGACAATCCTCTATTTAGTAGCAGCCATCAATTTTCCCAGATAAAACAAACTACACAGGGCATGTTCTTGGTTTAAAGTTGTTTTCTCTCTTTGTGAAGAGATGGCAACAATATACTCTAAAAATTACTATGCTTATTATAAATACACATTTATTAATCTTAGATTCAAGAAACACTACATAGAATATGTATTGTGCCTGGCTAGTATATAAATAACAATGGATATCTGCAGCCAGCATGGTAAGATAAAAGCTTTCAGATAAAATCCTGGCTGGTGTGATCAAGGACAAAATTCTAGATTACATTTCAAAACTCCCTCTGAGGCAAAATCCTCAGATGAGCAATCATTTTGCTACAGCAATACATACAGTACATACTGAAGTACATTTGCATATATACACAGACATTTCAGGCAAGTGCCTGAAAGAGAAGACTTTGGAGATGAAGGAGAAATCTTACTGTGCCACAGGGATATTGCCAAATGCTGAGGCAAACCCTGATGACACCTCCAGCTGACCTCTCACCCATACAGGCCTCCCTCCTTCTTAAGGTCACAGCGTTTTCAACCCAACCCAGCTGGGCCATAAGATGCACACACAAAAGAACCACTGAATCAAAGAATGGTTTGGTTTGAAGGGTCCTTAAAGATCATCTAGTTCCACCTCCCCTGCCACAGGGACACCTTTCACTAGACCAGGTTGCTCAGAGCTCCATCCAGCCTGTCTTTGAACACTTCCAGGGATGGGGCATCCACAACTTCACTGGGGAATTGTGTCAGTGCCTCACCACTATCCTCCCTGTGCTGGAGGATGCACTAATACTCATTTCTGATTTTCAGAATTCCCAGAAGACTTATTGTTGTGATTAAGGCATTAGGGAGGAATTACAGGATCCATCCTGAGGCATGGAGAACCAGGTAATGGTCCCCCAGATCTCCACTCCTCCTCTACACAGTAATAAACACAAGGAACAGTGGAGATTTTAACACTTCAGAACAAAGCAGCATAAAGGCTTAAACTTTCAGAGCAAGGGCCCTCTTGGGAACCATGTTTTCCAAACCAAGCAGAAGAGGTACCCTTAGAGGTTAAATGGTTTTGCACTTGTTCCTAAGGGTGCCCTTTGGGATTTAACTCCACAATTGCATCAGGCATGCCTCTTCTGAATAACTGCTTAGTCACACTGGACTGAAAAACATTTTCAATAAATTCAGTCTCATACTACCAGAAATATTTGAGGTAGTTTGCTGCTGCAGTGTCATCATACAGTCAAATAAATAAATTTAATATTCCTTAGAAATTTGCCTGTGATGTTTTGGAACACATTATTCTTACCCTTCAACATACAAGATGTATGGTGAAAAACTAAAATTGAGACTCTTTGGTGGGCTAGTTCCATTGTCTCACTTGGAAGACTCTTTGGGAGGGTACTCTAAGAGCATGGGATAGAAACATCCCAAAAGAGGATATTCAAGAAGTAGCTGTGAAACTTAAAGATATGTGATGTGCTTTTCAGTGTACAACAAAGATATTGTGAAGCACAGCCAAATGAGAGATAGTGGAAGTAGAGCTAAACCTAGCAACACAGAATCTGTCTTCACAGGAACCTAATTCTACAGAAAAATACTTGGTAGATTTAGAACCTTAGAAAAAACTTAACTTCAGCTTCCAGGAGAATAGTGAAAATTATGTATGAGGGCCTCAGCATATTTGCAATCTGAGCTGAATATATAACATATTCACCTTGCATTTAGTCATAAATAAAGCACAACTGAATGAAACTGGGAATGTATGAAACTTTCAGACACATGACTGAATGAAACTGGGTCTCAACCAAACTCCACCAAAACTGAAATGAACCTCAGTTTCACTTTACAAGTCAGCACATGGGCTTGAATTACTGTTATCAAAGTTAAGTTTGACTCTTAGAGCACTGAGCATAATCAGTTCTTAAGTAAGGGAGTGAGGAACAGCACTTCCTCTCTGTCCTAGCTCAATTCCTTTGAGGCACTGCAGCAAGTTTTTATTTTCTGTGCCTTAAGTCTACAATAAAAAAAAAGAAGCTTCGCCTGCAAGCATCAGGCAAATTACAGTTTAAACATACGTTGTTTGTTCGCCTGTTGCCACAGACTCAGTAAACATTCCCCAGCCTATTCAGTAATGAGGTGTTCGCATTTACACACGACATCATTCTGAATTTGCACTAATTCATCCCAGCAAAGGCTGAGGACTTTTTCTCCTAAAATGTCCAACATCTGCCCTTCTGTTGAAGAAGGAAGGTACTAGTGTTCAAGTACCTTAAATGCCTTTCCAAGTATACTCCAAAGGCCCATGGTAAATGTGGCAACTGAGATTACAGAGGATATTTTAAAAACGTAAGGCTTCAGCATCTAAATTGGGCAGGGGCAAGGAGGATGAAAGAGGGAGGATAGCAAAGAGGTCTTCAATACAAAACACTAATGTCAGTACAGAAAGATTTTTTGGGACATAGCTTGTGCTGTATTGACTTTGACTTGGATACATCTTTCATTCAGAGACAGCTAGCACAGTATCTTTGGGAACTCCCTTGCATTTCAAATTCAATTAAACTCCTTTTTCAGAAACTTCTGTTCTTATCTTCTTCCTCACCCAAGATCACGAAACAAGATGTCTTTTTACCAAGAATGAATTGCAGGGGAAATAAAGCATAAGAAGATAGAAACTAACTACCACTTTTTTTTTTATACTGAGGTGTATGTACCATATAATGTGATGGGAAACTGCATTTCTGCTTCTTACGCTACAGCTGCAGCACTTAAGAAAGCACGGCTTTCTTCCTGTTCTCTAACTGCAACACAAAAATTTATTTTGGAGTACAGAAACTCATGGATTACAGCTTCCTTCCTATAAGAAGCAACAGGCCCAGACAGAGATGTGTTCACAAGTTCTACAAACAAAGCATCATCATGGGTGCCTCTCCATCCTACCTTCTTTTTCTCTGCATTTTCTTTGTCCTCAGCTTCCCGCTGCCAAACATTTTTTGTATCAAAATCAAAAGGCCCTCTTCTTTTCTGATAACTGTTACCATGATGGTCATCAGCCATAAATTCTCTGTGAACCATATAATCTGGTAGAGAGAAAGCATAGCTCCTGCAGGCAAAGATTTAATGCTTGTTTTTACAAGGTATACAAATTCTGCGCTTTAGTACAGAAGCATTCAGAAATGTTACTATGTGAACAGAGAGGCCAAGGTGTGTTGGGCCTCAGCAATCTTACCGTGGCTTCTCAATCCCTGCAGGATTGGCACAGTGTGAGTACCAGTCAGGTGCAGCATATGCTGCTGGAGGGGTCTTCATTTCCACAGAAGTGTAGTGCTTCAGTAGGTCTGGAGAGAAAAAGACAAAAGCCAGTACTTTTCTGATTTTTTATGTAGTTGCAAAAGCACTACTTTTGTTTTCAGATTGCTGTTTTTTGTCAGGAAGAAATTAATTTCCTCATTTTTTCCACAAGTTTATTTCAGAAGTCCAGAGGATCCTTCTGTAGCATCTACAAGCACTTTACACCACACTCAAGCAAAGCCAAAGAAAACAAAGGGAAACCAAAGAAGCAAGACAGATGCTCACCAGGTCGGCCTCCTTGCTTTGCCAGCCTCAAGTAGGCTGAATCAGTCTCTTTGATCCACTTCCTCGGGCACCCAGACAGTGGCATTTCATGGGGAGCTCTTGAAAGGTCATTGAGACCCAGAATCTGGGAGGAAAGTGGGCTCTTCTCTGGTTGTTTCAGTGCCATGGGGTATTGTTGTCCTGCAATAATGGAAAAGAAAATATTTATGGCAAAAGTTAAATGCCAGCATCCCTTTTTCAGGCAACTTAACAAACTAAGCCCACCTGGAACATGAATGAGGTGCAACATTTCATCATGAAGACAAAAGACCAGGCTTGCTCATTCTGGGGGATATAGCACAAGCAATTTCTAGAGCATCAGATGCAAAACACTTTTGTTTCAGTTCTGTGACAGCATTCAAGTTTTCCTGTAAAGTGTTCTCATACAGAGAATCATGCCTCTTAATTCAGAAAACTATTTCCTAGGACACATCAAAGTGACAGGCACACGAGACAGCAAAAAAAACACTTCAGCCTTTGGTTTCCTTTCCCTCACATGCACTAACTAAAAGCAAAGACAGTAGCTGTCTGTTGGCAGGTCTTTATTTGGAAAACAACCAAACCCTATCCTCAAATAAAAAATTTTTAAAAAAACCAACACCAAACACCCTACCTCTCCATACATTACTTTCTCAACTTCTAGTGAGCACAAGAAAATATAAACAAATCCTTCAAGACAGGAAAATAGACGGCAGATAAATAAGAAAAAGCCAGTACAAGGTACTGCGCCATAGAAGATGCAGAGGCACGCACCGGAGCGACTCCAGCTGTAGGTAATGCCGTTCCGCCGGTGTAAGGGCACCACTGCAGGCAGCAGCTCGCTGAGGAGCTCCTGGCACACACACACATGCGCTGGCTGTGCCCAAACTCCACCCCAAGAAACACCCAAGTCTTCCCCGGGCTCAGGGGCGCAGAGCCGGCTCCCGCTGCCGCCTCCCGGGCGGGTCCGTCCCCCGGCGCTCTCCCGCTGACGATGCTCGGGGACCGCCGCGGCTGCAGCTCAGAGACCCAAGGGCGATTCCCCGAGCGGTGACCCGAAACCCCCGGGAAACGGGCGGGACGGGGCCCGAAGGGGAGAGGCGGGAGGAGCCGGATGCCGTCGGAGGCGGAGCAGGACATCGCGGCCCACGGTCCCTGCCTCCCTCTCTCCCTCTTTCCTCTGCGGGGCTTGCAGCACCGCGCGGTGCTCGACACCGCCAGCAGCAGCAGGGGCGCAGGGCGGAGTGGAGGCGGCTCCCGGTGGGCTCCTGGATCGGAAAGCGGCGGGAGCCTTGCCGGGATGCCTTCCTCCCGAAGAGGGGAGGACGCCCTCCCCACTGTCCGACCGCCCGCCCGGACCTTGCCGGAAACTCCATCCCAGCTGAAACCAGGACAAAGTCCATCCTTTATTCCATGGTATTTACCATTCTATTATATTTAATCTTTGTCTTCCATACACTGGAAATCTGCTGGCACCCTTTTGGGTCCTTGAAATACCCTCCTCTGAAATTTTCTTTATATTCCTGGACGTGGCAAGCCACTTTATCCACCAAACGGCTTCTTCATCTTTCCATGTCTGAGTCCTGGAGAACATGGAAGGATGATGGGATATAGTGGAACGGTGAGACTGAGAGAACATGCAGGCATGGAGGGACATGAAGAAAATAGTGGAGTAGTGGAACTGGAGAAGATAGTGAGACATAGGAGGAGGAGGGCCAGAGGGGTGGTGGAATGGGGGAATGATGAGTCATGAAGATGTTGGGATGTGGAGAGTATGGACAGATATTGGGACATGGAGACTGTGGGATGTGTAGGGACGCAGAGGAAATGGAGTGGCAGAGAACATATAGCGATAGTGAGATGGAGGGACAGTGAGAAATGGAAGATAACAAGTTGGATGAGACAGGGCTCTTGGGCCAAGGGGTGGTGGAACGATCAATGGAGAGGCCAGACAGATGAAAGCGTTTGGGACAGAAGGACAGTGGGACATGTGGGGAAATGGAACATGGTGGGTAGTGGGACAGAGCAGTTGGTGGCTAGGGGAACACTAGGCCAGGAGCAGCAGAAGATGCAAGCTCAGGAACCAGGAGGTCCCTGAAGGGCTCACCCAGGCTCTGTGCCACATGTAGAGGTACCAGATGCTGCCCCCCACCTCCTGGGGATACTCCCTCCCCAGTCCTGTGTGTGCCCCAGACACATCTCTTCCCACACACAGACATGGATTGGTGTGAGGCAGGTTGAGATACCCTGTATGAGAGTTTGAAGTCAAGGTACACCCCATAAGTGAAATCATACTGCACTGTGGTGTGGGTTGCAGCATCCTGTGAGGTGTACCAGGTCCACATGCTCTGCCACCCTCAATGTAAAGAAGTTCTTCCTCATGCTGAGGTGGAACCTCTTGTGTTTTAGTTTATGGTCATTGGTTCTTGTCCTGTCTCTGGGCACCACTGAAAGGTCTGGCACTATCCTCTGGACACCCCCTTTTGAGATGCATTGATGAGATCCCTTCTGAGTCTTCTCTAGACTCTGGCCCAGCTCCCTCAGTCTCTTTCCCTGGAGACATGCTCCAGATTCCAGATCATCTTTGTGGTGTTTGCTGGACCCTCTCCAGTAACTCCTTGTCTTTCTTGTGCTGCGGAGCCTAGAACTGGGACCACAGTACTGCAGATGTGGCCTCACTATAGCTGAATATAGGGGCAGGATCATCTCTTTCGACCTGCTGGTCGCACACTTCCTGATGCACCCCAGGACGCTATTGGCCCTCCTGGGCCTGAGGACGCACCACCAGCCCATAGTCAACTTGTCATCCACCAAGAATCCCAGGTCTTTCTCCATAGAGATACTCTCTCATCTGATTCAGCAGTGGCCTCATGTTTTCCCTAATCTTCCTTTTGCTGCTGATATACCTGTAGAAGCCTTTGTTGTCCTTGATATTCCTTGTCAGATTCAATTCCAAGGGGGCTTTGGCCTTCCTCACTGCATCCCTGAAGACTCTGACATTGCTTCAATAACACTCCCACATGGCCTGTCCATTTTTCCACTTTCCATAAATTTCTTCTTAAATTTCAGATTTACTAGAACCTTGTATGGGCTCCATCCATATTACAGGTGCTATACAATGGGGTTACCCCACCCTCCCAACACAAGCCCAACCCCACACAAACTGCTGCTGCTCAATGCTTTTTATTTGCTGACCAAGCTTGAGGGACTAGGGGGAGTTGGGCATGTGGAAGTCTAAGTGGGACAGCTGCGAGTTCAGGTAGCATACTTGACGATCCAGAGCTTCACTCTTCATTGAGTCCCTTCTGATGAAGAACGAGAAAAAGGGGCTGTTTTGGGGCATCCATGGGGTGGCCTATGAGGCACCTGTGGGCAGGGTAAAGTCTCACCTTGGCTCCAATGTCGCGGCTCTTGGCCCGCAGCTTGTTGACCTGGGACTCGGCGATGTCGGCACGCTCCTCTGCCTCATCCAGCTCATGCTGCACCTTGCGGAACTTGGCCAGGTTGGTGTTGGCCTGCTCCTCCTGAGGGGGAAGGGATACCAGTGAGGCTCCCACACAGCTCTGTCCCCACCTTCTCTCCATACATCTGACTTTCTTATTGCTCCGTCTGGTCCAGAATAGAACCACTTGGTTCTTCAGGTATCCCATTTTTGAACCACCCAAAC